GTAAAATCCAAACTGGGAAAATCCAAACTTGGTATCGCTTAATAGACATTTATGTTAATAGTAGGCCTATAACAAATCTACTTAAGAAGGGTTGAGGTTATAAACTGACTAATGACAGACTGAAGAAAAGAACGACTGCCTGACGAACCACCAGTCACACTAGTGGGACTGATTGATTTGTTGGTTGATCGATTTAAATTTATTGATTAATCGATAAATTAATTGGTTTGTTAAAAGTTTTGTTGATTGGTTTACTGAATTTCCAGTGCCGTAGCTAGGTTGTGAGGGGCCCTGGTTCAAGGTAATAGTCGGGGCCCTTTTGACGCATGCAAATTGACTGACCATGCCAACTAAGATGTGTTCATCTAATGGGTTAGTTTAGGAGCAGCGGTCTGAAAATGGTAATCTTTGATGTTCATAATTACAATATTAGGTTACAAGACTCGCATCACGCTATATCGCGAAATCTCTATGTTCCATTATAAATATATTAATAATGAATGGTATGGTTACAAACGATTGGAAAGTGTCAATGACTACCCCGTAAACAAAGGTAAAGGCAACAAACAAAGCCTTAACAATATTATAGACCAACCAATCTCAGTGGATGCCACATAGTTAAAATTGTTGAGAAGCAAGTCCAGGATCAAGTTATTACAGTATCTCAATGAAAAAACATCACAATATGCTTCCAGGAATTATCACTCACCGTGTAATAATTAGCTGGAATCCTAACCGCGAAATTAAATTGATACTGCTAAGTGTTTTGACATAATAAATCACATATTACTACTAAACGAATGGAAAACTATGAATTTAAAGGAAGCAAATAGTTAAATGTCACAATAAAACATTATTAATTGATTTTTTTTATAAGGTAGTGGGGTCCTTATAAATCTCGGGCCCCTGGAGCTCGGAGCCCAGGTTCAATTAACTTGCTGAACCTTCGGTAGTTACACCACTGTGACTTTCTAACGATTGAATGGGTTTCTTTCGTTGGTTGATCGATTAATTCGTCAATGGACTGGCCCCGATAACGAAAACAAAAAACAAAACAAAAACAAAAACAAAACAAACAAACAAACAAAAAACCATCACAATTGCAGGGGCAGATCCAACCCAAAGCGGGAGAATGAATGTGCGAACTGAGTGAGAGTCTAGGGAAGATCCTCTGTGTAGGGGTGCAAGGTGCTAATCCACTTTAACCTTTAATAACCTCAATTAAAATGAGTTTGTATTTAATTGATTTTGACTGTTAACCATGGTAATTTTCTGATAAGTTTCACAAAAAAAAATTATTGTGCAAAAAATAGAGGGGCGTACGCCCCTTACCCCCGCCCTCCCGCACCCCAAAATCCGCCACTGCTCTGTCACTGGTGTACTGCGAGTTCCGCATTTTACCAGGAAGTAGTTGCACATTTTTCGTACTAGTGTACTGGGTATTTATATCGCTGGCATTTCCCTTTCGGTTAGGATCATTGAACTTAACAGTACATCGTAAGTGCATGTTGATACATTTTCGTTTACAGTATTCAAACTCTTATGCCAACAGGCAATAATTTGAACGGAAATCTTAAAACGCTAGTCGGTGTTCTCATACATGCAAATATGGTGTTTCGAGCAATGTATATCCTCTTTGTGATGGTGACATCTGTGGCATGTTCTAATCACTCACTCACGAAAAGGCATCTGAACTGGTGGAAGGACGAGCAACGGTACGAGATCAAGTCATCATCGGCTGAAGTTGGAGTCATAGTGGTCGACCACCTCACATCTCACCCTGAAAACGTCCAAGTCCTTGACAACAAAGTGTACATGTCCTTTGTTCTATACAAACGGAACGGGGCACTCGTCGAAACAAATGGTGGAGTGTTTCACTTCATCGACGTCGAAACGGCAAACAATCTTCGCACGAAATGTGTTCGGCCGACCAACCATGCAGGTGCTTACCGACACTTTTATGGTAATTGTCCAGAGGACGACACAACTTTGGTAGCCTCTGGATACTGTTACCAAGGAGGACGGGGACTAGTATATAATTCGAACACGTTTAATTTGCGGTGGAGCTATACGGATGACAGATATTATTTGGGAAATGATGAAGATACAGCTAGACAGGTGCACATAATTGAACAAAACCTGCTGAAAATATGCTACAACAACTGGAAAAATAGTGGGTTTGATACTGAAAACTGGAGTTGCAAGTTCAGTAATGTGTCCATGGTGCAGTTGGCGCAGGTAGCTGTTCCCGAAAATACAATTTTGGATGAATGTAGCGCCTGTGATGCTCCATGCCCATCTTCTGCAACCAGCTTGTTCACCCATAAAAGTGAGATAGCGGGATGTGTGGTGATGCTCTTATCGATGTATTGGAACCTGTACATTGCTTTAGGCCTCTGAATCTAGATTGTTACGTGATGATCGAAGGCATGGCATATATATTTTTATACCTCCATGATCGAAGGTACAGTATGTCCTTACAGCGACGTCGCGTTGTTGGTGATGTCACACCGGTACAAGTTTTGCTTTGTGATGACGTTTTGGGGCTCCCCAACATGGCATCAGTGGCTTCACTAAAACCAGCCAAAGATCAATCCTTTTAATAGAGAGATAAGTAATAATACTGAGCCTATATTCAAGTTTGCATTGATTCCAACTAATTAAATAGGCCTGACCCATTCAGCTCTATTAAATTCAAGAAATAGGCCCACAGTTCGTTACATAGATCTATGTCTATTATGGACATAGTAATGCGGATGTTAGTACTGTCAATCTCTCGATGTTTATTACCCATGTAATGCTGTCGATAGTACAGGTCTTAATTAAATTTAAGTCTAGAAATTATATTCGCGTTGTATGTGTATGTGTATCTGTATAATAAGTTGTATTGTATATTTGAGCCTTAATGGGGTCTGGGCGAACTAATTATACTCATACATTTTGAGATTTTACGCTTTTTACTGCGATTTAACGCGCAGAAATATCTATAAAATATTCAAGGAAATTAAGAACAAAATTGCCAATTACAGTATTTGTTTCGCTTAGAGTCTGTTGGGCATTTTATGAGTCTCTGATAAAGTATAATATTCCCAACAGTAGAAAAATCATCAAACTACTTGCAGTGAAGTAAATCTAAAACGTATTCATAACGTATGATCACCGGATATTATTCAAAATCATGAACAATAGTTGAACAAACTATAAACTATCAATAACGTCACGTGCCGATATGTTACTATTGTACTTTAAAATATCCGCCTTTCAAATAGTATTTGTGTAGTGCATCGTACCGTGAAGTAGGCCTACTTAAATAACCTGAATGTAAGAAAATAATTAACCTTGCATGCATTCAAAAGGTACGAAACTGTTGATGGCTTGTGTTATGTAGGCCTAAAAAGTAAAAGAAAGTCATCCTAAAGCAGATCAGAAATGGTTTTATGGTGCCAAAATATTTACCAAAATGTTGGTATTTTTGTCAATCTTCATAGGCCTATTACCATTAAGGGGAGCTTAAACAAGATTTTCAGCGATTCGCTCTGAGAAAACGTAACCCCAGCTTATTATCGCTTTATTGAGAAGGCCTATAACAAATCTTGATAAGAAAGGTCGAGGTTATAAACTGACTAATGACACACTGATGGAAGGAAAGACTGACTGACTGACTAAAAGACATTAACACTAGTGCCTCGTTGGCTGACTGATAGTGACTTCGCCATAGCGAAGGTCAGGGTGAGAGATAAAATGATATTTAAGAAAACAATATAAAGTGATTGCAGTGCCTGGTGGTCTGGCAAATTCCAACTCTTTCTGTCAAAAATGCCACCTCAACCAAAGACAAAAAAAAATAAATAAATAAAAATATTATATGTAGCTATATTGTTTCTAGCCGTACCTATTGTGTAATAGAGTGTATCTGGTGGTATTTGAATCTGTTCAACCATGAAGCCTCCGTGGTCTAATGGTTATGACGCTCGCCTTGACAGCGAGAGGTCGCAGGTTCGAGT